CACCTTCTTTTATATCCCAGACTACCCTATATCTTGTAAATACTAGAGCATTCGCCAAGGTACAGGATAGTTCTAGAAAATAGGTGGCGCCACACCAGTCACGTGACCTCGATGACGCAACAATATGTTGTTTGTGTGCTGTCCGTTTATTGTTCAAATTTATCGCCAACAAGTCACAGACATCTACTGTAAAAGAATCCCGGCCCATATCCAAAATCTGATATTTGGAAAGCCAGCCAGGATTATACAGTGGCAAATGGCAATAGAAGAAGTGAACGACAATAGAAATAGACCTACATAAGTACAACAGTAGTGGTGGTAAAAATAGTGTAGAGATTACAAGCATGCTATATAACCCTGTCAACAAATTTTGATAAGTGGATAGAAAGAAGTGAGTGTCTTGGGTTAAAAGATAATGATCTACGAGAGTTTGTTAAACAACAACAAGAACTAGAGAGGGAGAAGAGAGGAAGAACGACTAAAATAAGAAAAGGAAATAGAGAGAGAGAGAAAATAAGAACACGAATTGGGAAGAAGAAAAGGAGAGAGAGGAGAGAGTAGAAGTAGAGAGAATAAGAACACAAACTGAGATTGCAAAGCTCACCCAATAGAAAGACAAAAGACCCAAGAATGACAGTGGGGTCAGGGCCAGCTGACCCAAGCTGCCCAAATTTGATGAACAGAAAGACGACATGGATGCTTTCCTGGAGAGATATGAAATACTTGCTCAAAGTCAATATTGGTATAGATAGGACTGGGCAGTCTGTCTCAGTCCACTTCTCTCAGAAAAAAGGCCTACATGTGTATGCAGACAGAAGATGCCAGGGACTATGACAAGTTAAAAGTGGCGTTGCTGAAATGCTATGAATTTACCACAGAAGGTTTTCATTGAAAGTTCGGAGAAGTCAAACCTGATACTGGAGAAACTGTATTTCAGTTTGTGGAACGTCTATGGTAATACTTCACAGAATGAACTGACATGGTCAAGTGTGAAAATAGTTTTGAATGACTGGCAAATCTACTAATATGTGAACAAATCATGCTCACGTGTTTAACTGGCATATCACTGTTCCTAAGGGAAAGAGCCCCAAAAGACGTAGATGAGTTGATCAAGCTGGCAGAACAGTATATGGAAGCCCATGGAGGTATTATAACTAGCAAGTCTTAGAATAACCAGTTAAAGTCAAAATCAGTGTTAGCTGACCAGAAGCAGAAGTCCACCAAAGGTTACAGGAGGTTAACAGACAAATAGGAGAAGAGATGCCATATTTATTATAAAATAAGGCAAATTACAAAGGAGTGTTGCGTCAGCGAGATCACGTGACTATTGTCATGTCACCTGCTTTCTAGATCTATCACGTTCCTTCGGGAGTGCTCTAGCATTTACTAGATTGGGGTGGTCTGGTATATATAAGATGGTTACGGCGTGACGTGATAATATGTGTGTAGGTAGTGAGTAAATGATCTGCAGTGAGAAAGTATTATTGAAGTTGAGC